TCACAGGGGTAGTGGGTTATAGAGCAAATTGGCCACGTGATTAAAGCATCATCCAGACTGTGGCCTCCATATTTCTTCCTCTGTCTTGTGTGGTAGTATTTCCTGAGTTGGGTTCTGCTTTATTGCATATTCTCAGATCCTGTTAACATCAGGAAACCCGCCTCAGGCAACACTCCTGTGGAGGCGGTGACAGTGAGGGAAGGCCCAGGCTCAACACAGACAGCCCTTGTCCCTAAGGACAAGTGGGCACCTGCTCCCCTGGTGACAGGGTGACTCTGAGCACTGATGGGCTGATGACTTCTGTCACGCCAGCTGCTCTAAAACACGGAGACAGAGACTCTGCATGAAGCTTAGGGTAGGGAGCAGCCAGAATCGTGAGAATGACTCAAAATATGAGGGGACAGCAAAGACACCTTTCCAAGGGACTCCAGTGGCTTGGAATTCTGGCCCTTCTGAGAAGAGCTAGTATAAACCTTCTGTTAAAGAGACAGATGCCACATTCTATTGGGTGTCACTTATCAGCAGGTCAGGGGAAGGCTATCAGGGGAAATTGTCACAAAATGACAATGTCACGGTTCAATCACTAACTGACTGAAAATGATACAGTGGCAGTCAGGCCTGACATTATCCTGCCTGTCTTCTTTTTCTGTCTCCCTGTGCTGCTGCTAGATGAATGACACCAAAGCCGAAGCCAAGAACAGACACAATGAGTCTCTAGGGGTGCAGTTATAGGGACACACAGGGCCACTGGGTGAAGGCAGTGTGAACCATGGAAGATGCTAGGCAAGGTCACTGAACACCCTGTGAAGGAATTTGCCCAGTTCAAGCCACCCTGGCAATCCCATGGCCTTCACAGAGGTGGCTCTGGCTGTTTGTCTATCTCTTCATCTACATTTTCTTACAAAATAAGGAAAATCACATAAACTCATGTTTTCCCTGGCTAGTCCATTTTCTTTCAACTTTTGACTACATTTTGCCCGGTGTATCAGAAACAGCATTCTTGCTTTAACTTCGGGGTAAGCTGGGTTCAAGAACCAGGTCTAACCCCCCCCCCCCATCTGTGTGTCCTTAGTCAAGCAACTTACTCTCTCTGAGGCTCTGTTTCCAGAAATGCCAGATGGAGATAATAACCCTTACTTTGCAGAACTAGTGTGTGGATTAGAGGTAATGCTTGCACGGCAGCCCACACATATTTTCAAGTAAGAGTAATACTGAGTCATTGGTGGCCATTTGAAGAGTTATTTATTTTTCTCTCATCTTGTCTTCTTTTATTCCTTCCCTTCATTACCTATTGTGTGTAGTATGGAGACATATCTATAATAAGGAGGCATCCTCCACATTCTCTTCTAATTTATTTGATTTCACTATAGCCACAATTTATATTTTATAGCTTCTACTAACCCTGATACCCTGTAGTATCTCCCTCTAGTAAGCTATGGGAATCGGCTTGCACATTTTTTTAATTGACAAAAAATATTTATAATTGCCTTTGAGCCCCCTCTGCATTTATCAGATTGCCAACATTGAAATAAGATGATAATACTTATTGCTGGAAAATGGGCACTCAATCCCACAGTGTTGTCAGGAGTATAATTGGTAAAACGTTGATACATTGTAGAAGTCAATATGGCAAAAAAACTTTAAAAATATGCACACTCTTTGCCCTGGCAAGAGCACCCCAAGGAATTTACCCTAAGAATATAATCAGTTTTGTTTGCAAAAATCTATGGACAAAAATGTTCTTGCAGCATTTGTAATAGTGAAAAACATGAGAATAATCTAAAGGTCCAAAATAGGAGATTTGTTAATTTTGTGTATCATTGTGATATAGCCACATCATAGAAGACTCTGTTGTTATTGAACATTTGGAATAAAGCCCATGTATTGATAAGGGAAGATATTTGTACATTGTGCAGGTGACAAATTCAAGAAGTAAAATAATATTACAGGGGTGCTGCTTCAGTAGATAAGGGAGACACCTGTTCAGCTCTTCCAGACTGGTGGGTAGGTAAGTAGAAAATGGTCTCTACCCATCTCCCATTCCCTCCCTTGCCTTCCCTGTTGAGAATGGTTGGCTTAATAATTAGGGAGATTAGGAAAAAGTCCCTACAGGTGTGTGCTTGTTATGACTGGAATGTGTGTGTCCCTCTGCAATGCATTCAGAGGGTGGAAACCTTAACTTTCAGTGTAATAGTTTAGGAGGTGGAGTCTTCAGGAGGTAATTAGATCATGAAGGTGGGGCCCTCATGATTGGGATTAGTGAGTGTTTTCTCACTCTCCTTCTGTAATGTGAGAATATGAAGAAGAGTGAGCTGGGTGTGACCTGGAAGAGGTCCTTGACCAGAGCCTGGCCATATTAGCACCCTAGTCATGGAACACTCCAGACCTGTGAGACATAAATTTCATTTTTTATGAGCCAGGCAGTGTCTGGTATTTTGTTACAGGAGCCCCAACTAAGACAGTGCCCTAGGTGCTGGCTCTGAGTGCACATTATTATCTTCACCCTACGTCCATGAAATGGGCAGACATGAGCTGTGGTCCAGGTACTCAGTCTCTGCACTAATGGGTATGAGGCTGGGTCCATGTCTCTACAGGGCTGTGTGTCTGCAGCTCCACCTCATACTCGTACACCCAGTGCTACAACCACTGCAGGTGGAGGCAGAGGGGTAAGGGGATCCCCTTGGCATCTGGTGCATGCTGCAGTTTCGAGGCCTGTTCACCAGGAGAAAGCAGACACTTATCTATATCCCCAGTGTCCTTTATTTATCTCATTTGATTCAGAGCCCATGGGGAACAAGGGTTAATCAATACCCTCAAACCTCAGTATACATATAGTATGTTCTCACTGTGCTTTTCTGAATACACACATGACAAAAACTCTGGAAGGATACATGCTAAAATGCAGAGTTCATCTTCTCTGGGTGGCCAGATTATCTGCATGCATGAGTTGTAATTATTATAAAATTTTCCATTTACACTGTTTAAACAGGAATAATATGCTCCTTGAGCTTGTTTCCCATGACAGCACAAGTTTTGAACCTTCCCAGCTGAGATGGAAGCTTTGAGCAAGGAAAGGAAGACCACAGTAGCATTTGCTAGACACCTACGCTGTACCAGGCATGGTACATGGAGCACAGACACTATTTTTCATTCAGTCCTCTTATTGGCCTTACTAGTTCAGGATGTTCATGTAAATTTGTCAGGTAGCTAAACTGGGGAAATTTATTAACCTGTACAGTGTCACATAACTAGTAAGAGGCAAAGAGAGCCAAGACCTCACTCTCAGTGTGACCTACTCCCAATCTTATGTCCCTCCGACTCGAACATCCTTACAAAATTAAAGATAGTTACATTAAGATAAAACACACACACACACACACACACACACTCACTCACATACAAAGGCAATGGTATAGCCAAACTGACATCACAGAATGTATATAGTAAAGGAAATCCTATAGTCAGAATGATCATATGCTCATTTTTCTTAAAACACCAAACCCAAATCTTAAGAAAACTAAAAACAACACAATGAAAAGAGGGTAGGTTGGTTTTCTAGACAGGCCTTGTGCAAATAGTGCTGAGAATGACAATGTGCAGGCATGACAGCCAGGAGAGAGAGAGAAAAATGAATAAATATAAACACAGAATCTCCCAAGGCAGCACCATATGAGGATGCTGGGAAAAGGGGCACCAAACTTCTAGATCCAATTAGTCCCATGAGCAGGGCTGGATCCAAGAGGAGTACAGTAATTGATTTTCACAATAATTATCCTGAGTCATCAAGGAAAGGTTACATTTTATGTTCAGACTTATCTATTTAAGTAGGCAAGGAAGCGTGTAATCCATTTGCGAAAAATTCTCATTTAAAATAGTTAAAAATTATTTCAAAAGATTTTTGGTGCTTAAAGGGATAAGTGATAGTTATCTGGAAAATGCACTTGTGTGGAACAAGATCTTCCCTAAAGATTATAGATTAGTAAGGTTTTATTTAGTGAGTAATCTATCCCTTCTTCTTTTATGACATTTCATTGTATAGTTTTCTCAAGCCATTCACAATTCCTAACTTCCAAGCACTGGATTGTAAGTTTCTTGAAACTAAAGATTCTGACATCCTTTCTTGGACATCCCACATCCCTGTGGTGCACAACCTTTTTTTTATTGGCCATGAAAAAATGATGAACTAATAATCACAAAAAATGACCGACTCCCAGGACATGTATAAACTTTGACAACTCCCAACTGACATTTTGCAAAATCCTTTTGTGGTTTTGGTAAGCAGTTCTGCAAGGTTTTTTTTTTTTTGCTTGTTTGTTTTGTTTTGTTTTGTTTTAAACATGTTAATAACTATACCAACCATTCACTCTAAGAAGACAAAAAAACGTAAGATTTAAAAATAGGGTTAATCTAATTTTTTTCTCAAAGCAAGATTTATTTTAAAAAATACTTTCATTGAGGCCTCTACTTTTCATGTAACTAGTACTGCAAACACACAGAACTCTCCTGGTCTATCCTGTAAGCTCCATTCTCTAATACTGCCCCCTGTGTATCTTGTGCCCCAGATATAACTCATTGCTCATTGGGGAATGTGCAGAGATCCTTGGGGCTTTCTCATATGCTATTCCCTCTGTCAAAAATGTCCCACCTCCACATTTTTTATGTCTAACTCAAATGTTCTCTTCAAGTGCCACTGCTCTCAAGGAATTTTTTAATCTTACAACTGTTGCAGGATGGTGTCATTACTTCATTTTTGAAGATGAGGAGAAGACCTTAAAGGCTATGGAACTCCCTCTAGGTCATACCATCGGTATCAGAGCCAGGACTAGTCCACCATCAGTCCTCTTCTGGTAGTATTTCTCTTCATTGCACAATGAACAACTGTAACTGAAGCCCCCTTGTTGGCACACACCGATCTCCTTAATATTCCAGGTTGTGGGGCCCATTAGTCACCCTATTGCCTTTTGTGGCCGCAACAGAGTAGGAGCAGGGGTGAGGCTTACCTGGTGTGTTGAGCAGGCGGGACCTCCTGCAGTGGTAGGCCACTTCCTGCTCACAGTGTTCAGAATTGTCAATCACCGCCTCCAGCTGCTCCATGCTGCCCCCATAGTCCAAAGCCATGGAGTAGGGCTTCTCGGGGCTAGCACCCCGTACATGGGTCAGCTCTGTGTTGTTGTGCTGCATTGATGTCCAGATCTTGTCCTCTGCCCAGAAAACACAACCCAAGGAAGGAGATGTTAGAAGGAATGTCAAAACAGAATCATGCTCAATAAAGCTGGGGAAAAAAAAGACAGAGCATTGTGCAAGCAGTGTGATGGGTGGCTCAACATGCAATCATTAATAACCATCTGAGTACTCTATTCATATAAAGAATTTGACCAGAGAATTTTTGTTTCTCATAGAGCTGCACCCAGAGTTAGTATAAAGGTTAATAATTTTAAGAGCTAAATTTGTGGAGCCCTTGTTCCACAGGTTTATGCTAATCATTTAATGCCCATAATTGCATTAAAATCAATATTACCTAAGTCAAAAGAAAGTCGATGCTGCCATGACAGAAAACAGGGAAATGTGAGTAAGGAGAGTTAGGCTGCGGACCCCGGATTATACAGGTAGTGACTAAATAAGAACTAAAGCCCAGGATATTCATTCTCCAAAGCCATACTTCTCGCTATTAACACAATGTCCCTCACAAGAGAAACACGAACATAGATGATTCTCTCAGGGAACCATGACCCATGTGCAAATTAAGATGTACACACAGAAAGTATTTGTAAAATACACACACACCATTCAGAAGGATGGGACTGTGCAATCCCTACAGTACTGCAAGGCATTTAATTGCACTTTTTAAATTATTTCTTCTCCATGTCAACTCTAGTTGCCAAAAATATTTGTGGAGGCTTACAGTAAAAGAACACACAAAGATGAAGACCTTTATATCAGGGATGGAGAACATGTTTTGCCTACCACAGGTAAGAGTGGAAAACAAGGAGAGTGAAGAAGAATTTGAGTTTTAGAGGCTGAGAGATCTATATCTGAAAACTATTTCTGCCAACAACAAGCTTGGACAAGTCACCTCACTTTCCTGGGGCTCAGTTTTATTATCAGTAAAAAAGTAAAATTAAACAAAATAGCAAAGCCACTAATACTGTGCCCAGGCTGTTAACATAAAATAGCAAACAAAAATATTAAGTTGTAAGACACTACCTGGGAAGCATTAGACATTTTGTAATAATAACCTAGGATAAAATATTTACTGCAATTGGATACAGAATGTAATTCTGAACATGCTCACAAATAAAGCAAAGGAGGAAATAGGAAGTTGTAAAGAGCTTTTGTCATCTGAGAATCTTTACCACATACTGACATTATTACTCTCCCTAGATTCTCAGGGCTGAAAAATAACCCACCATTGACATCATGTGGTTTCTTCCTCCCTCACTCCTCAGTCTTATAAATGAGGAAACCAAGGTCTAGGAAGTAAATAAATGGTCTAAGAAGTATCTGTTAGACAAAAATGATGAGCACATACACTGGAAGTAATCACTATTATTAATTTGTACTAACAGGAAGCAGAAACATGGTTGTTGGCATGATTTAGCTGAAAAAGAACTGGCAACCATATGACTTGGGGAAAGTAACTTCATTGCCTTGCACTTCAGTGTCAAGATAGTAGAAGGAGGAAAAAGAGAAAGAGATTTTGGTTTAAATTATCTCTAAAATATGTGCCAATTCTAAAAAAAGACACATTTCTGGCAGCATAAAATTAAACTGTGCTCAAACATTCTGATTCATTTTAAGACTGTTTCCTAAAGCCATCCACTAATAGCCCACATGTCTCCAATGTTTAACTGAGGCAGAGTTACTTTTTCTATAAACTCTAAAAGAACAAATCAAAATGAAGGTTATTGGATTTTGACTCTGAATGTAAAAGTAGGACATGATTCATATTAGTAAAATTAATAATGTTACACAAATAATTAACCCCAAAACTCCAAAAATGTTGGTGCTAATATAGACAAATGCTGACAAAATCACCAAAAAAAGCAATTGTTCAATAAGGCAATGTTTTAGGAGATCCAAGATGGTGGAGTAGATAAACAGTATGTGTGCTTCCTTCTATGAACACATTAAAACTAAATTCTAGAATGACCAACCTGAAGAATCATCTGAAGTCTACTGGAACCAAAGTACTGTAACTGAGGATATAAAGAAGCCACATCGAGACTGGTAGGAGGGGCAGAGATGCAAAATAGGCCCCAAACCTGCTCGTGGCACTTGAAAATCAGGAGGGATATCTCCACCATGGAGGTTCCCCCCAGAAGAGCAAGGGGCCCAGCCAAAAAACAATCTCCCCAGCCTGGAGAACTGATGCCAGGAAGAGGAGCACCCACAACATATCTACGAAAATCACTGGGGATTCCAACCATCCTGGTGGGATGGATGGCTTCAGGAAACCCAGGTGCCCTCTTAAATGGCTCATGCACAGACTCTCTCACTTGCAGGCACTCACTTGTGTTCTGGCGGAGGGGCAGTTTCTTGGGGGGGGTGCAGTGTCAAAGACATACAAGGGGCAGACTGAGGTGTGTGACTTAGTAGTGAGGGCTGGAGAATAGTAGCCTGTTTTCCCTGTGTGGTGTCCTTCTCCCCTGAAGCCAAAAGGCTGGCACCATCTTTCCTGTGTTGAGCCTACCCCCACAGGCCAAATCTGAGTCTGATTGGCCTGGTGAGCACTGTTGCTCTACCTAGTTGACTCACTGGGACCCCACCTCACCCAACTTGGACACCACATGCAGCTGTATTAGTGGCTAAACCTTATGGGAGCTGGCAGGTGGCAGTAGTCATTGGGGTGTCCTGGCTTTTTGCAGAGCTACCCCAGACCCAGTATTGGTGGCAGCTGTCCTTGACTCACAGTGTGGCCTCTTCCACATGACTGCAGGGTTAGCACAGACAGCAAACAACTACAGATTGCTTTGTAGCTCCTACCAGGTACTGCCCTGTGGGACACAAGCAGTGGCTGACCAGGGCCTGCACTGGAGCCCTTCATAAGATTCCCCCAAACCAACATACTTGGAGGTTGGCTTCAGACCACAGCAGAGCACCCCCTAATTAGCCCCACAAGTGGCACACCCAAAGGGAAGTCTCAACAGGCACAAGAGCCAGCTGGGGGGAGTCCCACTCAGTAGGGTAAGCCCCCCACAGCAGCCTGTAAGCTGTGGACATGGCTAACCCCCATAGCCAATCAGCCTGAAGGTCAGTCCTGCTCACTACCAAAACAATAACAATCAAGGCTCAACTATAGCAGGAGGGCAGATACAACCCACACATGGGATACTCCTGGAGCACCCAGCACAGGTCTCCAGGAAAATTGGGCCACTGGGCCCCACAGGGCACCTACTACATAAGACCACCCAGCCAAGACTGGGAGACAATAGCAGCCCTACCAAATACATAGGAACAAACACAGAGAGGCAGCCAAAATTAGGAAACAAAGAAATACATCCCAAATGAAAGAACAGGAGAAAACTACAGAAAAATAATTAAATGAAATGGAGGTAAGCAGTCTACCAGAGATAGAGTTCAAAATAATGGTTATAAGAATGCTTAAGAAACTTAGTGAGAACTTTAATAAAGAGATAGCAAGCATAAAAGAGAATTAGAAACCATAAACAAGAACCAGTCAGAAGTAAAGAATACATTAACTAAAATGAAGAATACCCTAGAAGGAATCACCAGCAGAGTAGATGAAGCAGCAATTTGGAAGACAAGGTAAAAGAAAGCACCCAATTGGAACAGCAAAAAGAAAAAAAGTATCCAAAAAAAAATGAGGATAGTTTAAGAGACCTCTGGGTTAACACCAAGCATAACAACATTTTCATCATAGATATACCAGAAGAATATAGAAAGCAAGGGATTGTGAACCTGTTTAAAGAAATAATGACTAAGAGCTTCCATAACCTCGCAAAGGAACTAGACATACAATTCCAGGAAGCACAGAGAGTCTCAAACAAGATGAACCCAAACAGGCTGACATCAAGACACATATAATTAGAATGGCAAAAGTTAAAGACAGAGAGAATCCTAAAAGAAGCAAGAGAAATGCAACTAGTAACTTATATGGGAGCTCCCATTAAGTTGTCAACTGATTTCTCAACAGAAACTGCAAGCCAGAAGGATTGGCACATAATATTCAATATGATGAAAAGTAAGGAACTACAGCCAAAATTACTCTACCCAGCAAAGCTATTATTTAGAATTGAAGGACAGATAAAAAGCTTCCCAGACGAGAAAAAGCTAAAGGAGTTCATTACCACCAAACCAGTATTACAAGAAATGTTAGAGGGGCTTTGTTAAGATAGAAAACAAAACAAAACTATGAATAATAAAATGGCAAAAGCTATATATCTTTAAATGTAAATGGATAAATGCTCCACTCAAAAGACATAAGAAAGATGAATGAATAAGAAAACAAAACCTTTACATATGCTGCCTACAAGAGACTCACTTCAATTGAAAGATGCACACAAACAGAAAGTAAAGGGATGGAAAAAGATATTTCTTGAAATTGGAAAAAAAAAGCTGGGGTGGCAATACTTACATATGACAATATAAACTTTGAAACAAAGTCTATAATAAGAGACAAAGAAGGACCCAATAATTCCACTTTAGGGTATTTATCTGAAGAAACCCAAACACTACTTTGAGGGGACATGTGCATCTATATGTTCATTGCAGCATTGTTTAATGGCCAAGATTGGAGGCAGCCTGAGTGTCTGTTGATGGAAGAATAGATAAAGATGAGGTGATACATATATACAATGGAATATTGCTTGACCTTGGAAGGGGATGCGTTCCTTCCATCTGTGGTGGCATGGATGAACCTGGAGTGGATTGTGCTGAGTGGAGTATGTCAGCGAAAGACAAATGCAATATGATTTCGCTTATATGTGTATTCTAAAGAATAAAATAAACAAATAAACTCATGGATACAGAGAACATATTGATGGTTGCCAGATGGGAAGGGGTTGGGAGTGAGTAAAAAAGGGGGAGGGATTAAGGAGTACAAATTGGTTGTTACATAGTAGTCATGGGAATATAGGGTATAGCATAAAGAATACAGTCAATGATATTGTAATAACTATGTATGGTGTCATATTGGTACTAACCTTTTTGGGGTAATAGATGGGGGTGTTGGAGGGCAGGG